CTGCGGTACCGTGATAGAATACCTGTACGGTAAATAAAGTATTCTCGTCAATCGTATCCGGCAGCGTGGTCACACGCAGGTAGGAAACCGGGTTGGTGGTTGGCGACAAGACACCATCCACCAGTACCGAATCGATGGTCATATTATTGTTCAGTTCAAAGACATATTCCGTAATCCCGCCGGGAGCAGCCACCTTTGCCAGGGTTGTGGCATTGCCGGAAACATTGGTATTGGTATTATCCAGGTTAATATCCAGCTTCACATATTGTACATCATACTCGTTTTCGGCAGGCGACAATACGGTCCCTTTTCTGGCAGCCTGGTTAATTCGCTGCTTACTGCAATAATGATGCGCCTGACCGGAAAAAGCAGGCAAAAGACACAGGGAAAGGAGTAGATATTTGAGAAACATAGACCTGCTATTGGTTAGAGGAGCTTTAAAGTTAAGGCGAAAGGTACGAATGACTGACATTGTTTCTTTTACTTTTGCAGCATTATGAAGCAGGACCTTTTCGGAATTCTTTGTTTTTCACCGGGAAATGGCGGGCTGGAGATCAATACCGTCCGGCTGGCGATATGGATGCAGGCCGCTGGCTGGAAGGTGCAGCTACTGCTGCAAGAAGGAACGGCCCTGCATAAAAAGGCGGTGGAAGCCGGCTTGCCCGTAACAAACGTACCGGAAAACGCATCAGCGCGGCAACAGATCCAGGCCATCAAACATTGGGTGGCTACGTATCAGATCCCCCTGCTTTTTCTTCCTTTTAATAAAGACCTGAAGATCGCGGCCCGCTACAAACGGTATACCAACCGGGCTATCAAACTGGTGTACCAACAACATATGCAGGTGGGCGTTAAAAAGCGGGACCTGATTCACACGCTCCGTTATAAAATGCTGGACGCCTGGATCAGTCCGCTGGAATACCTGCGGCAGGAAACATTGGAAAAAACGCGCGTGCCTGCCTCAAAGATCCACGTGGTTCCATTTGGCTTCGATCCCCGCACATTTCAGCAGAGTGATTGGACACGCGTTACGGCTCGTAAAGCTTTCAACTTACCGGAAGTGGCATCGATCATTGGCGTCTTAGGCCGTATTGATCCT